TCTCTCTCTCTTTCTCTCTTTCTCTCTTTCTCTCTCTTTCTCTCTTTCTCTCATCCTACTTTTGATACTGGCTAAAGTATCCCTCGAATTAAAACATCCTCCTGTCGACACTTAGCGACAGCGTTATTACTGGTTCTTAATTCCAACCTACTTTGCTCGCCACGTGCCATCAGCACTGGCCCCCTCGAGACCCTAAAAAGGTATCCATCCGTCTCGGATTTAACCACTTACTAACCCGTCCCAGACACTAAGATTCCGTCTAAAAATGTCTCCTTGCCGGCTTTCATGTTTGCCTGACTGATTTGCTTCAGGCGGCGAGACAAGAGTATGCGCACGCCAACAAACATTGCATAGACTACTTCGAACCTCTTGTCCCATTCGTTAAAGCTTGGTTGCTCTGGCCACCGAATGGGTTGTGTCTATGTGTCCATTTCTCCGGCTCTTCTCAGACAGACGTAGGCCTCCATCCCTCACATCATCGCCCATATCTGCCCCACTCCTTCGGCAGCCACGCTCCGTCGCGTAACGGCCTTAATTGCTCCCAGAAGCCCATCTACTGTCGTCAGATTATCGCCTAAACGTGGAGACTTTTTCGTTGCCAACTCGTTCGTAGGCCTACCTGCTCCGGCGCCACAGGCGATTCGGCTTGAGCCTACCTTGGGCCTGAGCACAGTCTCCAAACGGGCAGTATAAGTGTTCAGATGATGTGCCCCGTCGGAAGACGGTTGAAGCTCTTGTCTCTCCTACATCAGCCGTGAATACCAACAATCATTTATTCTCGGTTGGATTGAGCTGGATTCACACGTGTTCGATCTCTCATGCTTGTTCAGTTGAGACAAAAAGTATTAGAACCTGTCTCATTTGATAATTTTATTATTTGCCACCGTCCATACAGTGATAAGCATAGAAAACAGTTTTCCACTCCAATCTCCAAGAAAATGCATGTCTATATTATTATTTAAAATGAACTATGGTCTCGATTTTTGTACTGCTTTGTGTGTTTTTAATGTAAGGCTTTGAAATGTGCTTTATTGTCTCCAGTTGGCAACTTAATTTATGATTTGTGGTTGGCGCGTATGGCTGGCATAGCCAGTATTTTCGCAAAGTGGCTAATTCTCTGCAAATTATGGGTGCTTTTAGAATGCTACTTTGTTTGTGTTTTTTCTATCCTCGACATCATTACCACCATCTTGGCCGAGCTTTTGCTACTAGTATTGTTACGAAAATGATCTTAGACATTCGTATCCTCTGTAATGAACTACTGAATTAATGGCTGTTACTTATAAGCATTACTTTATTCATTGTCTTTGTTTACTGCCAGTCATGTCAATACAAGAGCTTCCAACAAACAACTTTTACCATGGTCATTACGTTTTATTAGATAGATGCTATTTAATTAATTATTCTAGCCATTTTCCTCATCGCTGTCGATTATTAGAGTAAACTTTCCGTGTACAACGTTGTTGTGCAACTGATTCTATGTACTCGTATAAGTTCTGATGAGCGACTGACTCGCTTGTCTTATTTATGCTACAGTGCGTATGATATATGGTTTATGCTAGTCAATGTGATTGTTAATATTTCAGGCGATCACCTGTTTTCGTGGCCGATATATTCAATATGATGGCTAGAACTAGTTGTTGTGTTTGTAGTTGACTTCACTTTCGAAACTTGGTCGGAGCGATAGTGAGGCCTCAAGGAACGTACTTTGTCCTGCGTCGTCTGCTACATTCTTTGTGATTTGCAGCATCGGACTTGGTCTCGCCGACATCATTAGTTAGAGGCTCCATTGTTATAGCATAGTTACAATTTATCAAAAGTGACAAGTGAAGGAAATACCCTTGATCAATTTTCTGTTCAACCATTCTGTCAAGGAGATTGCCTTCACTTGTCACTTTGAGAAGTTGTAACTTTGTGCTGACGATGGTGCATCGAAACCAGCAATGGTGTCTCAAAGTAATTAGAACAGCAAAAGTAAAGTCTCATCTTGTCTATCAAGTTTGATGACCACCATCAACCCTTTCTATATGTATGTTTTAAACATCACTCCATTAGCGCAATGTCGGATACAGGTCTGGTTTTTTGCTATTTTGTCTTCATGTACGAGAGAAAGAGTGGGCTAAAAGTTCAGAGAAGTGTTGGTGATTAGAATATGCGAAGAAAAATTGGGCTTCGAGTAATCTATTGTTTCATGATTGTTGAGCTTACTTCCATTTCGAGTGAATGTGTTTGGTGAAAAGTTTCGAAGGTCGATCCCACCAGAAGACTACAGCTGTCGAATGGCTCTACTGGAACATTCTTGTTGACGCTATTTCCGACATGATCCCCTTCGATTCCGGTGAAAACGTGCTAAGCTGTCGTCCGTCGTGTGAAGAGCATCATCCTTACAACCAAATTCAAGCTAACGCGTCAAGTATACGCATCCATATCTGACCTCTTCGATGAGATATATAATGGTTTGGGTTATTACAGTCATATGTCAACCTCAAATCATGTGAATTTTGTCTGTCTCTGTATGCGTTCGCAAATGTACAACCAGCAATGGTGTCTCAAAGTAATTAGGACAGCAAAAGTAAAGTCTCTTCTTGTCTATCAAGTTTTGTTGACCACCATCAACCCTTTCTATATGTATGTTTTAAACATCACTCTGTTAGCGCAAAGTCGGATACAGGTCTGGTTTTGGGATTTTTTGTCTTCATATGAGAGAGAAAGAGTGGGCTAAAAGTTCAGAGAAGTGCTCGTGATTATAATAGGCAAAGAAAAATTGGGCTTCGTGC